TTAGAGGATATGGGAGATTTGGACACATTTGTAGAGTGAAGGTTCAAAGCTGGGGGTAAAGGACAATTGAAGATACAGGAAAGGGGCTACTTGTTGGAACAAGATTCCTAAGGAGACGGGAAGGAATTGGAGGCATGACTACAGGTGTGTAATACATCCTGAATACAGAGACGAGGGGTGAAGACAATGTAATAATGGATGAAAATGTAGATAAATTCTAGGTGGGGACGAAAATTGTTCACACAAAGCACCACCATGGATTGATGATACGGCATTTAACTCTACCGGAGTTCTTGAGCTCTGGACTCAACTTCTAAGTGTCTCCTGGGTATGTTTGCTCGGGTGTCATACTGTTTTGAAAACAAACTTGTATTCTCCCCAACAAGCTCCCCTCCTGTTTCCCTTGTCTTGTCTTTGCTCCCTCTTAGTTCAGGAACACTGACTCAGCCTGGTGCACTGCGGGTTCTAGTCTTAGGTCAAATGACAAGTTGGGCATCTCTATCCAAGGCTGCAGATCATAGGATGGGCTGATGGTGTGATGTGGGGGTGGAGAGTGGGTCATGGACATGGGTGTTGAGATGACCAAAGTCAGGCTATCCTAGAGTGTTCCCGATTCACAGAAGGGAGAAAGTAGGTGATTCTAGGTAGATAAACAGCAAAATCAAGTTCTTAGGGTTTGGAGGGTAGAAAGCAGGACTAGGAGAAAAGTCTTGAGCTGGTGAAATGCTGGACACAAACCCTTTCTGTGGTGTTTTGAACTTGAACATGAGCTTTGAGGATGGTATTAAAAGAAGCAAGTGGTACAGACCCCCCACATGCATTGAAGCTTCCAGCATTCTTCTGTATTTCAGCCATGAAATGTGGACTTTCCTTTAACGGTTCCTTTCCTTTCCTCACCTGCAACACTCTGTGATTCATTCTGCAACATCTCTTTACAAGGCCCCCAACTCATACATCCCCCCTTTTTCTTTCCCTCTGTCTATATTCTTTGTACCTTCTGTTTCAAGTCAGTTTGGAAATGTTAAAAAATTAGATTTTCTCATAGCTTTCCTGCTCTTGGCAGAGTTGACCTGGCTAGAGGCCAATAGTAGCAATGTTCGTAAAATGAAAAAAAAAAAAAAAGATTATATATATATGAAGAAAAACAAAGATCCAACTTTGGAAAATAACTTCCCTAAAAGTTTAGGTTTATATTCAAGGCCAAGATGTCGATTGCTGTTTATTTTATCTGAGCCAGACCTGGTGGCTATAAACTGCTTGGCTGTCCAGAGGTTTTCCCAAATCTCAGGGCCATGCCCCAGACCCCCTTCAGAGATGATTTAATTAGGATAAATGGTACTAATGTTTTGGCCTGGAGATGGCTTGCTATGGTCCATTTGCCTAACTATGAGACTGAGAATCACCCACGTTGGGCCGTGATCCTGCTCTTTTGCCCTTGCCAATGAATCTTGAATTTCACAAATGCTTCATTGTGCAAGCCCGCAGGAGAGCGTCCTCTTTCTTGGTGGATCTTGCCCACCTGGGATCACCTGTGGTCTTGAGACCAGAGCATGTGTACCACTGTAAACACAGCTCACAAGCTGTCACTTCTCTCTCTAACAGCCTCATGCTCATCAACATGAAGTCCTCCATTTTGCATTCGTTATGGCCACTTTGACACAGAAGAATGTGGAAACTGGATCTTGTCAGAATGCAGTTCGGATGGGGCCATGTTCATTCGAGGACTGGACTGGTGGCTGGAGTTTCTGTTCCAAAAGGTTAGGCCATCAGTCACATTAGCCACTACCCCCAGCTGCTCTGCTTAGAGAGTCACACTGTATACGTTCCTCATACTCAAGACACATAAGATAATACAGAGAATCCCACTGGAGCATTTGCTGATGACGGCTCTTTCTGGCTGTTTTCTAGGTGTCTCCACCATCATGGAAGGAAGAGGGGTGGCAAGTACTGTCACGGAGGCCCATGGGAAGTGGGAAAGGTGACAACACAGCTGACCACCCTTAGGCTACTGGGGAATGGTGGTCAATCCCAGAGATAAAATGTCATGGGGAGACATGCAGTGGAAAGCTCTGGACATCACTCAGGGATCGAGATGCACCACGGACGGTCCTGGAGGGCAGAGGCTGCAGATGGCCTCCAGGTCGCAGGGTTGGGAACGGTTATTCCTTGATCTCCGTTACTTTGGCTTGGGTGTTTCAGAGCTAGAAAAGAGGCACTGTCCTGGGCCCCTAATCCCTTCTTCCCTGGAATTTCCCCTGGAAGTGGTTTTTACCAGGTGTCGACCGTCTAGGGGAAAGTTTGGGAATGTGAAGGGGCATTTCAGTTAGTCATCGTGCGGTGGGCACTGGCAGGGAGGCTGACACTCAGCCTGTCCCAAGACAGTGGCACTCTCCTCCTGGGGTCTCTCCCTTTGAGAAACATGAAGAATGCGAGGCCTCCCAGGGAGGTTTCCACCCTGAGGAGGTCTGGACACACTCTGAGGCAGGTCTTCTGCAGGAATTTAAACATGGTGCCCAGCCCCGGTCTTTGCCGGGTAGAAGGGCACTGCTCTTCGGAGCACAGAGTTCTCTGCTGCTGAAGAGAAGTTTTAGCAATTGGCCTTTCAGGTGCTGACCAGTACTGTTCCAGTGTTATCTAGGAACACCGAGTGCCTGTGAAGGTTTGAAGAGTGTGGGCACAAACCCCACAATTGACAAGGCGACCCACGCTTTCTATCACCACCACAAAGAATCTTTGTAGTGAAGTTGTCTTCCCCAAGAACAGCAAGTTCTCCAAGAGGAGTCAAAATGAGATTGGATTTAAAGGGACGGGGTTTACTGTCTATCCACCACCTATAGCTCTCAGAGACCAAAGGCATCCCCAGAGACACGAGTTCATTCAGCTTCTAGAAGGTTCTAAATGTTTTCAGAGCAATGTCCTTCTTTCTCAGGCATTAACCCTCTACTCCTGTCCAGTTGTAGGTCCTTTAGTCTCTTCCCTTGAAGCAGGGAAATCATATTTTGCTTAAAACCAAGTTTAGGAATGAAGGTAAGCAAAGTTCTGGCTTCATTTCCTGATTTTTTTTTTTCTCTTTCCTTCTCTTAAGGTATGAGCAGAGCCTGCCAATGGTTGGCTAATTGTCTCCAAGTGAAAAGACTGATTCAGAAGAGTTTTAGACTCCCAGGGGCATAACACCCGTCATTTCACAATGGAGAATTATTTTTGTGGTATTTATTTTATGATTCCTGACCCTTGTTCTAAATCTTGCTGGTGTGTTTTCATTTAAAATGTATTAACTGAAACTTGGCTTAGGGACTTGGCTCCATTAGGCTCTACAACAGCTTAATCCAGATTTTATTATACTGGGACTTGTGTGTACGAACTTTAATATGAGAGGAAGCTTGGGGATAAATAGGGTGATGTTGATACTTACTATGCATTTAACTCTTTTGGTTCCCTCTTGACAGTTGACTGCAGTGTTTGGGGCTGGATCTTAATGTTTTCAAACTGTCGTGACAGTGACTGTAGCTTTCCTAGGGTGAGGGCTAGTCTGGGCCTCTGGGCAGATGGTAGACTCAGTTCAGAGCTCAAGCCCCGTGATTGTCTGAGGTCAATGGCCGTGTGTGGCCCACCTGGTGGGCGTGGGGCCCTGCTGGGCATCGTGCGGAAGCAGCTCAGGGTTTCCTCCGAACGCGGTGGAACTCCTGTCTCACCACCTCCATGCCAGCTCCACCCACAGCTCTCACGGTGCCACAGCACTTCCAAAGTGGGCCTCCCCTCAATCCTACTCCTCCAGTGCACCCCCTTCTGCAAATGAAGCCTCTGTTCACCCCATTGATCCTGCAATGCTCCCTCCTTGAGCCCTGCAGAGTGGGCTGTAGTCTGTCCACTCCACCTTGACTGACCCACCCCAGTCCAGTACCAATAGCTCTGAGAGCCACTAATTTTTGCCTGTCTCCCCCACCTATTTGTGACTGTCCATCTGTAGCCTCCTCTTCTATAGCAGAGGGGCCTCCTCTATGTAGAACCAAATCAGCTCAAAAACGTGCCCCAAACCTTCATTGGCTCCCCACTCGGGTTAGAACTGAAATGCTTCATACTCCCCGAAGACCCTGTGTGACCAGCCCTGTTGACTCCCGGCCTCCTCTCATCCTCCTATCCCCATGGCTCATCCAGCCCCCATAGTCTTTGCCCCAAGGCAGACTCTACCTGGCCAGTGCCCCTCACCTTCCAGACCACTTCCTCAACGGCGCCTTTCCTGACCGCGTCCTGATGTAATGAAACCCATATTACACTTTCATAGAACTGTGTGCTTCTTTTCTGACCTCTATGGCCTAACCTCCAGACATAACCCTCTACTCTGCCCAGCTGAGGTCCTGTCAGTCTCTTGTAGGAGGCTGGTAACACAGTTTGTACTTTTGTATTTATTGCAGTGACTGAATTTAACATCTGTCCCTCCCACCAGACTCTAAGTTCCATGAGGTTTGGGCCATGTCTGCTTGGCTCAGAGGTAGAAATCCAGCAACCTGTGCCTGACACATGTACAATATATAGTGGTCGGATCCATATATAAAAAATCGGCGTGGTTCCTGCCTTCAAGGAATTATTATTTTCACCTGAAAACCCCTATTGAGCCATTATGGTGTCCACTCGTACAGGGAGAAAAATAAATCCCTGAAAAAACAAGACCTGCTTGCAGCTTTGTAAAATAAGGTTGAAAATTCAAGTTTTGGAAACATCCAAAGAACTTTTGGAACAGAAACAGGTGGGTCATTATTATGGTTTGGATATGAGGTGTACCACCCCCACCCCAACCCTCCACCCAAAGCTCATGCCTCAATGCAGGAGGTAAAATGATCAGATTACGAGAGTTGTGACCTAATCAGTCCATCCTAGTTTGCATGGACTCACTGGGTGGTGCCTGTAGGCAGGTGGAGCATGGCTGGAGGAGGTGGGTCACTGGGGGGTGTACCCCAGAAGGGCTCATCTTCCCTGCGGCCCCTTCCTCTCTCTCTGTTTCAGGGTCACCGTGAGGTGAGCCCTTCTGTCATGATGTTCTGCCTCACCTGGGGCCCAGCGCTATGGAGTCAGCTAACCGCGGACTGAACCTCTGAAACTGTGAACCACAGTCAACATTTTCTCCTCTGCGTTGCTCTTGTTGGGACTTCTGGTCACAGTGATGCAAAGCTGATCAAAGCACATGTGGTCTGAGGCAGCTCATACGTGAAGAAAGCCTTTAGCAATAAGTTCGAAAATAATAATTTATAGAAAATTAGTAAAGGGAAAAAAAAAAGATAAAGAGTGGAGAGGGTTCTTTGTTCCATTGCTACTGGTTTATACTAAAGAGTCAAATGGGTCACATTTTCTGTCCAAAATTCTGTTTTAACAAGAACATATATAATGCCATTAATTTAAAACGGTGAGTTTTTGCCCTAGACTGAGTGTTGGTCCCCTGCCAATTTGTATGTTGAAGGCCTAATCCCCAGTGTGAAGGTACTTGGAGATGGGCATCTTTGGGAGGTGATTATTTCATGAGGATGCACCCCTCCTAAATAGAATTAGTGCCCTTTTAAAAGAGACTCTGGACAGTTCCCTTGTACCTTCCTCCATGTCAAGATACAATGAGGAGTCGGTAGGCTTTAAGCTGGAAGAGACCCCTCACTAGAACTAGACCCAGTTGGCACAGCAATCTCAGACTTCCAACCAGCAGAGCTGTGAGAAGTACACGTCTGTTGTTCATAAGCCACCCAGTCTACAGTGCTTTGTTACAGTAACTCAAAAGGACAAAGACAGTCTATAAACCACCAAGGAGAGAAAGCAGGTTTTCCAAAAGGAGGCACAAAGTCTTCTTCATTAGCCTCTCTAGTAATGAGCTATTCAGAGCAAAAACTTGACAAGTCATGGAGAATCTAGATAGGCCTCAGGAGACTGAGTCCTGAGCTTAAATCCCCCAGAGGGATTCCACCAGGATAACAGAGTGAACTTTCCTGGCCTTGGCCTCTAGCAGGATTCTCCAGTTTCCTAAGCACATCTTTGTTACTTTATGCTGTGGAAATGGGAAGGGGATTTTCTCAAGACTTCTAGTGTGACTCTCTGACTTCAAAATGGAGCTGAGATCATAAACACCTGAACAGTTATATCCCAAGGGGTTGAGGAGGCACAGCTCATAAACAGTCCATTCTAAAGCCAGACCCACGATCTCCACTGGAACATCAGATCCCGCTGCCAATCCACCTTCTACATGCGCCTCATTCCCAACGTCTGTGTTGTGGTCTCATTGTTGTGAATCCCCCATGGTTTCTCCAACTACTCCCACATCCCACATCCCCCTAACTGTCCAGTATGAAAAGACACTGGAGTAGCTGACCTTTTGGAGAATGTTGGACCTCTTGGTCCTCTACCCTGCCTCCCCTGCCCATCACAGAATTCTGAGCCTTTCTGGGCTGTACATGGGCATGAGTTGGGTGGTTTTGAGACCAAAGTTGAGAAACTAAAGCATTTAGACCTTCACAACTACTCACCACACAGAAGATGATTCCCTTTCATTTGTTGTACAAGAGTGTGTCTGAAATGTGGAACACCATCTTTCCTGTTCCTTGAGATACTGCCCTGGGCTTTTGTTAGCATCATTATTTTCTTTTTGGAGCACAAAGTACTTATACAGAATGATTTAATTATGTTTTAGCAACTCTCAATGAGAAAGATCTAGTACCAAAAGTAGGTCCCATTTTAAGCAAAGGCCATATGCAACTATTTCATCCCATTTTTAACTCATATAGTCTTGCTATATTTTAAGCAATTTTATAAATTGCCTCCAATCCTTTCAGCAACTCGGAAGCATGTATAAATAGCAAAATATATATGCACATACACACAGAGATCTGAATTCATTGAGAGCAAACATATGAAAGATAAAGTACTGGAATTAAGACCACAAAATTAGGCCCTGAAATAATATTTCCTCTTGTACTTCTTGTACTAGTGAAAAAAGAGTATGTACCATTTTCCCACCCTCTCCCCCAAAATTTTTAGTTAAGGAGCCACAAATAACGCAAATGTGATTGCACCTGTGATCTGCTGGAGACACAGCTCATTCAAGATGGAAGGGTGTGAATTCCCAGGGCCTTGCCCCCTCCATCTGCTGTGTGGGAAGAAGGCATTTGATTCCTATGTTTTCCCCTTTGGTGTTGCTGTATGCATTTGCCTCAAAGGAGGCCACCTGCTTATAGTCTTCTCTAACTGCAGGGTTCAAACAGCTACCTCCCTTTCTTGAGCGTTGGAATGGGTAGATTTATGAATGGCACAGATGGAGAAATAAATTAACTTTAGTACAGATGCTGGCATTGATATTCTTGGGACTGAACTGCTTCCAAGCCAGAAATAATCCTCGAGCTTGCAAAATAGGGAAGTCTGAAGCAATTTTACTGTTCTCGTCAGATGGCTGGATGTGGTACAAAGCTCACTGGAAAAAATTAATGGAAAAGTGTGCGCCACTCAGGTGGCTTGATGTGAATCGCTCCCAGACGAGGTGCACAACTGTGTCGCCAGGATTTTCTACTAAGCTGTCAGAAGAGTTCTTTGGAATTGGAAACATCGACAATTGATTAGAAGATTCTGGGCCTCCCAAAATTGTCTACAAAGGCTCATTGTTTGTTCATTCAATAAATACTGACTGAGATAAGTGAAGTGAGGCAAGACCCCTGCACTCACACCGCAGGGGCTGCTGGGTGGGGGGAATGTGGAGAAGGCTGAAGGGAGGAAGGCTGCCCTAGGAAGAGGCATCTGAGCTGTCTTAGGAGACAGAGGGAGGGAAGCAAATGCATCCCTGGAAGAAAGGACAGCGAGAACAAAGACTCAGGTGTGTGGAAACAACTTTAAGAAGCAGGAGGGGAGACTTGAGAAAGCTGGGCCAGATTGCAAAAGGGTCTATCTAGTTCCTGCAGAAATCGAAAAACAACGATGCAAATACACCAAGATGTTGGAAGGATAATTAAATCTTTTTTTGTAACCATATGGGATGTAGAAGTACATAAACGTGTGTGCGTGAGCGCGCGTGTGCGTGAGCACGCACATGTGCAAACACACATCTGTATGTTCACCGAGCATTTCACACATGGTAAATAACGAGCGAAATTAGTTTCCTTGTACAGTAACTAAGGGACTTATCTTACTTTTACTGAATTACCCAGGAGGTACTTAGCAAGGGGAAAGCGCCAGAGAAAATGTAGAAGGACCAGTAAAGACCTTCCTGGGAGGTCAAGTCAGAGACTGTGGAAGCTGTGGGTGCTCTTGACCAAATCGGAGAGGGAGGACGGCTTCCACTGTTGTTTGTTTGGATATGGTTTGAGTGTCACCCAGTGTCCCGGTGTTGGGTGCTTGGTCCCTTAGTGGTGGGTGCAGAAATGGGGTGCACTTTAAGAAGGGGGCCTGGGTCACTTAGGTCATTGGGGCAGCTGCACTCAGAAGTGATCAAGGTATCATTCATGTGACCCTTAAGCTGTCACGAGAGCGACTTGGTAATAAAGTCATCTCAACACCTGAATCATCTTCTGGCCTCCTGCTTCCAGATACAACCTCTTCACCATTGGGCCCTCGTCAAAGCCAACCCAGTGTGTCCAACAAAGATGAAACCTTTGATGACCATTTTGTAGTCCAGAGTTTAGTGGACAGATGGGTCAGTGTGCTAGAGTGGTGAACGGAGCTGGCTTGCAAGATCCGATGGTGATCTTTTCAAGAATTTCATGAGCTATTGTTACAATTTACAATTTAAATTTCATAAAAATTACAAGTAAATATATTTGTTTAAAACAAAGAGAAT